ATAATTTTTTTAAAATGTGAATTCCTGGGGCCAGCATTGTGTCCTAGCAGGTTAAGCCTCTGCCCACCTCCCATACGGGCACGGGTTCATGTCTTGCTGCTCCACTTCCAATCCAGCTCCCTGCTATAGCACCTGGGAAAGCAGAGGAGGACGGCACAAGTGCTTGGGCCCCTGCACCCATGGGGGAGATAGGGGAAACTGGAAGAACCTTCTGGCTTTGGACTGGTCCAGCTCCGGCTGTTGCGGTGATTTGGGAAGTGAACCAGCAGATGGAAGATGTCTCTCTCTCTCTCTTCCCGCCTCTCCCCATCACTCCTTCTCATCTCTGTAAATTATGCTTTTCAAATAAATCTTTAAAAAATGCAGATTCCTAGCCCCTCCCTCCACATGCTGGATCTGCATCTCCAGGGCTGGGAACCTACAACGCGCTACCAGGTGTCAGTCTCAGATTTCCTTTCCAGGAACTCCGCGGGCAGGGAGAGAGCCTGGAAGGGTGGCCCTGACGTTCCTTAAGGACCGGCTTTCTCCTCCCAGGCCTGGCATGAAGGGCGGAAGTGTAAGACCCTGGCAGGCTGCCCAGGCTTCTCTCCAACCCTCTTGGCTGGGGGACCAGAAGGGAGGGTGACTGGCAAGGTTGCAGCTGCCCTGGAAGAGGCTTGGAGACTCCGTGAACCACTGCCAAGGCGAAGGGGGTGGCTCGGCCCTGGAGGAGCCCTGCCCCGCGTGGGGCTGGGTGTTCCGACAGCCTGGCTCCTGCGCAAGCTGTGGCAGTGTCAGGTGTGCCCTTGCCTACCATGGGGCTGGGGGTGAAAGACCCTTTTACCAGCACCAACAAGGCTCCGGTGCAAATCCCGGCCACGCCACTGAGAAGCCGTGGGCACTCAGAAAACTCGCTGTGTCTTGGTTTCCTTGCATCATGGAGGTAACTCCACAATGTTGTCTCAATGTCTTTTTTTTTTTTTTTTTTTTGAGGCCGGCGCTGTGGCCTAGCAGATTAAGCTACTGCCTGCAACACCAGCATCCCATATGGACAGCGGTTTGAGACCTGCCTACTTCACTTCCAATCCAGCTCCCTGCTAATGCACCTGGGAAAGCAGTGGAAAATGGTTCAAGTGTGTGGGCCCCTGAACCCATGTGGGAGACCCAGAAGAAGCTCCTGGCTCCTGGCTCTGGCTTCTGGCTTTGGTCTGGCCCAGCCCTGACCATTGCAGCCATCTGGGGAGTGAACCAGCAGATGGAAGATCTCTCTCTCCTTCTCTCTCTGTAACTGTGTCTTTCAAATAAAATACATAAATTTCAAAAAGATATTTAAAAAATTCTAAACAAATCAAAAAGTAAACAATCAAAAAAGATTTAAGAGCATGGCACATCTATGTATTTTGCAGCTGACTAACAAATCTTAAGTGGATTTCCATTCCCTAAATGTTTACAAATTCACCAGAAGCCCTCCTCCATCTCTCCTCACACCCCCGTACAACCCTGAGACGTAAGGGGGCGATTGTTGACCCAAGACCCCCTGGCTGACTAGAGCTGGACTGGGGCTGCCCCGGGTCTAGGGGGACCCGCAGTTCAGCCAGCTTTCCCCTGAGGGGGTGACCAGCCCACTCTCCCTCCCCTGCAAACGTGCATGCTCCTGGGGAGGAGGAATTATAAATAGGCTCCAGGAGGCTGGGAGGGTACCTGGCTTCTTTCAACCCGATCAAGGTCGGCACAACCCGGCTGCCCAAAGCCTGGCCTCTCCCGGGGCAGCCAGGGGCCCTTGAGAGCCCAGGCATCCCACAAGCTTGGGACAACCCCTCCTCTGCTAAGTTCTGCTGTGGACGGGGTAGGGGCAAGGCAACAGGGGCACCGTCCATTTCCTCCCGACAGCATGGGTCTCTCACACGGACAAGGGGCAGGGCTTTGATCCAGCTGAGAAAAGCAGAGGAAAGAGCTCTCGGCCACCAGCTAGGGGCAGACTGTAGTGGGGGGACGCCAGGAAGGGTCCCACCATGGCGACAAATGTAACATGATTCCAACAGAGACAGCAACACGGTTCTTTGTTGTTACTGTCGGGAGGGGTAGGATGAGCTAGATGGAAAACTGGGGAGCTGGGGCGGTTGGAGGGGAGCATCGTGTACGGAAGTGAGACCAGGGGAGAGCTGCTGGGACCTGTCAGACCTGGGGGCTTTGGAAAGACCCTGATCTCCCCCAGGAAGGAGCTGGTTAATTAAATTTTTCTCTGGGGCCAGGCTTAGCCGGTAAAGCCGCCGCAGGTTTGTGTCCCCGCTGCTTCACTTCCGATCTAGCTCCCTGCTAATGCGTCTGGGAAAGCAGTAGCAGGTGGCCAAGTACTTGGGCCCCTGCACCCACATGGGAGGCCCGGATGAAACTCCTGGCTCCTACATCGGCCTAGCCCAGCCCTGGTTGTTGTAGACATTTGGGGAGTGAACCAATTGTTGGAAGACCTCTCTCTCTCTGCCTCTCCCTCTCTGTGGCCCTGACCTTCAAATAATAAATAAATCTTTAAAAAGAGAAAAAGAAATTGTTCTCCCTGCCCCCAAACAGAAAGCTATGTAACTGTCTCTTCTAAGGAAGCTCTGAGTGTTCCCAGTGGGCAAACTGCAAGATAAGGGGACAAAACAAGGTTCAAAACGTGGTGTGTGGCGTGTCCCTCTCTGCATAAAAATGAGAGAACAGAAGAACGAGTCTTGCTGGTGCCGCAGCTCACTAGGCTAATCCTCCGCCTTGCGGTGCCAGGACACCGGGTTCTAGTCCCATCGGGGTGCCGGATTCTGTCCTGGTTGCTCCTCTTCCAGGCCAGCTCTCTGCTGTGGCCAGGGAGTGCAGTGGAGGATGGCCCAAGTCCTTGGGCCCTGCACCCCATGGGAGACCAGGAGAAGCACCTGGCTCCTGCCTTCGGATCAGCGCGGTGCACCTGCCGCAGTGCGCCGGCCGCGGCGGCCATTGGAGGGTGAACCAACAGCAAAGGAAGACCTTTCTCTCTGTCTCTCTCTCTCACTATCCACTCTGCCTGTCAAAAAAAAAAAAAAAAAAAAAGAGCAAGTCTCTGTTGTGTGTTATCGGCTGCCGTGGAACAAACTGCCTCCAAACTCAGCGACTTAACATTTATCACCTCGGTTACCCAGGTCAGGACTCAGACCCTCATGCTGGGGGCTGGGGCTGCGGGCCCATCTGTAGGCTCACCGGCGGGTGGCAGCACTGAGGGGGAGTTGTTGGCAGGCCTGGGCCCCTCCTGGAGGCTGACTGCCCCCCAGTGGGTGACCGCAGAGTGCAAGACAGCACCCACGATGCAGTCTCTGCCCGTTTTCTGTAACGCGCTCTCGGAAGCAGCACGCCACCATTTTTGCAGTATTTCATTTCCTTATCAATGGGTAGGTCCAGCCCACGCGGAACGGGAGGAGAGTAAGCAGGGCATCCATGCTACGGGGAGGGGTCCCCGGGGCTACCTGGGAGGGTGCCTGCCACCACTGGCCTTGCAGAACAGGCGGCTGGAGGGTGTACCACAAACATCTCACCCCGGCTGCCTCAGGGGAGGGAACTGTGTAACTGGGGAGATCTGCCACTGAATATGCTTTTGTACCCTTTAAATTTCACACAATATGGATGTATTACTATTCAAGAAATAAATCTCAGTGACTTAAATTTCATACAATATGGATGTATCACTATTCAAGAAATTAATTTGTTTTCAATTTAAAAAGAACAATTAAAAAGATTTTTTTAAAGGGCATTTAAAAAAATTTAATTGAAAGGCAGAATTAGAGAGAGAGAGAGGGAGAGGCAGAGAGAGAGAGATCTTCTATCCGCTGGTTCACTCCCCAAATGGCCACAACAGCTAGAGCTGGGCCGATCTAAAGCCAGGAGCAAGGAGCTTCCCCCCGCCCCGCCCCGGTCTCCCACACAGGTGCAGGGGCCCAAGCACTTGGGCCCAGGCCACAGCAGAGAGCTGGATCGAAAGAGGAGCAGTGGGCACACAAACTGGCGCCCATATGGGATGCTGACGCTGTAGGTGGAGGCCTAGCCTGCTATGCCACAGCACCGGCTCCAGAATGGCATTTGAATAGCAGAAAAAGCCCAGAGGGAACAAAGTGATGATTATTCTTAAGTAATGCATAGCTATTACTCCGCAAACCTGGCTGTTTCTGGTGAGTCTTTATTGTTCCAGCAGGGGGAGTTCAGAAATCTCTTTACTACACACGAGCAAGCAACGCTCATTTGCAGAATGACATAGAAACCTTTGGGCCAGGACCCAGGGCTGTTCAGTGTCAGCTTCCACTTGTCCTCTAGGTGTTGCCTTCGCGTGGCCTGTCCCCTGTGCATGGAATGTCCTACTCTAAGTCCCCCTCCCAGTAAAAATCCCCTTGCAACCAACGCAGATGTCGCTGTCACCGTAAAGCAGCCCACAGCAATGAGTCATTGCTTCTGCCTCAGCATGGCCTGGTCTCGATCCTAACACACTTAGGTCTCTGCACACAAGGGTCTGGTCCCGTGAGGTCAGCACCAGCCTCACCTGGGACCCTTGGAAGCACAGAGCTCAGGCCCCGCTCGGACCCCATCTGGACCAACAGCGCGAGCATCCAGACTTCACCGAGGCGGCGGCGGCGACTCAGACGCTAAAGCTCGAGAGACGCCGGTTTCAGCCTTTGCCTCATGGCCCCGTGAGCTTCTCGACGGTTTTCTTTTATCTCTTCTCATCTGAGTCCCTCATAAGACTCTGCACCCAACAGTAATGATTATGTACCGCATACAATTGTATACCTTCCTGGAAGGCTAGACGCTACATAACTAATAATAGCTATCTGGCAGGTCAACAATGGCACATTTCTATGTAATATTTCAGTTTTTTATTATCAGAATATTCACCTTTGGAGATAGAAAAATGGAAAAATACATGCAAAATCTAAGATCTAGTATATACCCGTTTCCTACAATTTTTTAGAAAGCGTATACCACTTCTGTAATAAGTATACCACTTCTGAACAAAAACCATTTCATCCTGAAATAAAAGTCTTCATGTTTATTAAGCCCTATTACATCCAATGATCAAGATTTCTACACCCCCCGGGGAAGTGAACGTTCTAGAAGTATCATGACCACGGCAGAGGAAGGCATGGGCCTCAACAGTGCCCCCAGGACCGCTTGACACCGGGCTTCTGTCTTCCTGCGGGTGAAGCTCCCAGGACACTGGCAATCAGTCAGCTCTCAGACCCTACAGCAACAGAGCCACTCTCCCAGGACAAGGCATCCGGAGCCACTCATGCAGCACCACCGCCCCCTGGTGGCAGGCTCTGGAAATGGAAAGGGGCTCAAGAATCAGGAGCTAGGAAACGGGTCAAAGACCAATTTTTAAACGTTTTCCATCAATAGCACCTTTATTTCTTTAAGTCATCACCACCACCCTCCTTGTGCCCGGGAGTCAGTTACTGGCACAATCACGTGGGCCCAGGGCCTGCCGTCCACCAGACTCGGTGCTTCGGATGCTGCCCAGGTACCCAGTCCTCTCCCTCCCTGCCGCTCTGCGCCTTAGGAAGGAGACAACCACGCCGTGTTCTTGTGCTCTGCCTTTCCCGCTCACTCTCGACCTCTGTCCACTTCCCTGAGCCTCAGGAGACGGCAAGCGTGGCCCAGAGTCAGCTGTGTGCCGCGCGGAGAAGCCCCAGTGCTCCGCAAACCCAGACCTCGGCTCCAGGCCTTGGCCCTGCAGCTAGGTGCGGCCGCATTGCTGGCATTTCCCAAGAAGCCGCAGGGCGGAGCAGTGTCAGTCTGAGACCTTGGTGCCTCGCCTCCACCCCTTTCTCCAGCGAAACACACAGCTTCCTTACTCTTCCAGGAAGAACGAAACATTCAACAGCGTATCTGGAGTAGGAGAGAGAAAAACTGTGGCCGATCACCACTGCTGCAAACACGAACGTACGACACAGGCAGCGTGGGGGAGGTGAGCACAGAGAAAGGGGAGGAGTGGGAGGTGAGCGCGGAAAGAGTAAGAGGGGTAGCTGAGCCCCGGAAAGAAGGGAG